GAAGGAATTGAGGGCACAGGAAAAGGACTTGGCCTGGGGAAAGAGAAGGCCCACGTCTTCCTTCAATATAGGAGTAAAGGTGGAGGTTATGGGTGAAAATGTAGATAGGTTTTACAGTGTGAAGGAGGGAAGATGAAGAAACTCACAGCCCATTTTAGTGAAATAGGAGGGGGCAGAGGGTCAAGGAGGTGGGTCATTACCAAGGAGGTGGATCTCTTACCTGACAAATTCAGTGGCTTTTTATTAATCCTATCTTCTTTGATCTGAAGCTTTTGAAACCATTGGCCACCCTCTCTTCCTGTGGCTTTGGGGCCTTTTCTCTTTCCTAGTTTTCCTCCTCCCCGTTTAGCCACTCCTCAATCTTTTTTTGTTGGATTCTCATCCATATCCTTCCTTCTCGGCGTGAAATCCCATGGCATTTTCTTGGGTCCTTGTCTCACCAACTCCTTAGTAGACCCCATCTCCTTAAATGGGTTCAACTTTCTTTGTCATGTATTTCTCTGTGTACACAGTGAACCCTTTCAGTCATAGAGCGGAAAAAAAATGTAAGCTCTTTGAGGACAGGGACTCTTTCATTTTTTGTGTTTTGTTTCCCCAACACTCAGTTCAGAGCCTCACTCAAAGTAGGCTCTTTACTGTTTGTCAATTGTTAACAAACAATACTCTGCCCAGTGTTGACAACATTGTTGAATTGAAATTTTCTCATCACACTCTGCACTGGTTGGATATCACAATTACAATTATCCAGTTCTGGAATCCACATTTAAAGATGAATGAGTTTGGAGATGAGTCTTAAAGATATTTAACGGATTATAAAAAATCAAATCCATAAGGATGGATTTAAAGATGAAGTGAAACTCTCCTTAACAACAATCACTTACATAGTACTTTTATTATTTGACCAGACTTATGATTTCATCGGTGTAGGGAATTCTTAGTGAGGAAACTCTTTCTACAAATGCAGAGTTACATGAGGGACACTGAGAAAATAAGTGAAATGCTTTAGAGTCACTCAGTCAGTTTGTGTCAGAGGGAAAAGTTAACTCAGTTCTTATTGAGGCTGACTCTGTATCCACTACTCACTTTAAGGTTTATTCAGCATTTTCAGAAAAGAAAAGTTATTCATAATTTCACATTTTAAATGTGTGAATCCCACTTCTTCCAGATTTTATGGCTTGCCAACAGAGTAAGGCTTGGAGAGTATTTTATGTGGGAACTATGGAAAATAAGAGAAGATGTACAGTCACTTTCCTCAAGAAGTTTGAAATCTAGAGGTGATAGTGGGCCTGTGCATTTGTGGACCCAGTCACAAATAGGTATCTCTTATAGTAGCATAATCTTACCTATCTCAAGGGTAGCTAACGCTCTTGAACTACAGATAAAACCAAAATAAAACAAAACAAAAAGCCCTCAGAGTAACCAGGATATTTACAAAGTTCAAAAAGTTCATGTACTTTACTCTTTGTTAAATTTAAAAGGCCCTTACTCAATTTATTTTTGTTGCATAAGCAATGTTAAACAGTTTGGTTATCTGGTTTCCTAGCTAAGAGAGATAAGAAATAACAAATTTTAACAGTTTGTTGGCACAGTGCCAGGCCTGGAGTCAGTAGGACTCATCTTCCCGAGTTGAAATATTGCCTCATTCACTACCTGTGTGCCTCTGGGCAAGTCACTTTACCCTGTTTACCTCAACTTCCTCATCCGGAAAATGAACTGGAGAAGGAAAATGGCAAACCACTCCAGTATCTTTGCCAAGAAAATCCCAAAAATGGGGTTACAAAGAATCTTACAGGACTGAATAGATCCAGGCTTTCATAAATAGCACAGTCACATCCATGAAGGAAGAGATGAAAAAAGTTTTTAAAACAGTAATAAGAATCCCTAAAGTATGGTGGTCTTGGGCTATTTTGGCACTGGGACAAACATCTAAGCATCCCCCAAGCCCCAGTATACCCATATATTATTAAAAAGCAGTATGACATAATTATATAGAAGTATAAAAGGTGTGGGGTGTGTGTGTGTGTACAAAACAATGGCTTTGAAGGAAATTCCAACAGAAGCTTCAAAAATGTTTGTATGACAGCATTGCTAAAATAAGTATAAAGTATCCAGAGATGATACCATTACTCCTATTTATTAAGGCAGATTTAGTTTAAACTAGTTGTTTAGTGTCACACAGCTAATAAAAATATATATGGCCAAATCTGAACTCAGGTCTTCCTTATTCCAGGTCTAGCATTCTACTGATACCACCTAATTTTTTTTAAATTAAAACTCTGCGTGGTGAGTTTGTTAAAATAAAAAATAAACTACAAAGCAGTCTTACTATCAATGCACTGCATAAAGTATAATCATTGCTGTTCACACTGCTGACATTCATTCATGAAAAGGTTATGTTATATTCAATGTATTCTATTTAAGAGAATAGTCCTTTTTTGAAAACTTTTCAAATATAAATATGGGTAAAGGTTTTAAAAGGTCTAAAAGTGAATTTTCTAGAACCTTCCATTACCTGGCAAATAAACGAAGTGTTTTGAAAATAACTTCACTAGAGCCACCTGAATAGGTTTACACTTTTCGTTTTCAATTGCATTTTGCTTGATGAGACATGATAAGCGAATTTTATGGAACAAAGTAAATAATTTGAATTTATATAGTTACCTGTAATGCTGTTTTATCTCAAAGTTGACAAATATATACTCAGACTAGAGCTGTTTTTTTCACCTGTCTAGCCCAAATGACGATAATCACAGGCAGCAGTTCTGTACCAATGGTGCTTAGAAATGTTTGTTTAAGGATTGGGAAATCAATGCAAGAGTATTTCAGTCCTGTCCAAATCTTCATGGCCGCTTTTGAGGTTTTCTTGACAAAGATACCGGAGTTTGCCATTTCTTTTTCCAGCTCATTTTCCAGATGAGGAAACTTCGGCCAGCAATGTTAAGTGACTTGCCCAAGCTCACACAGCTAGTTTGTATGGCTGGATTTGAAGATGAGTCTTTCTGACTCCATGCCCATCACTCTACCTCTGACTCACCTAGATGGTGGAAATTCTAGGCAAGTCCCAATAGTCTTTACATAAGGGATATGACCTCAACTGCCCCAGGTTACAAAACAGCCTGCAATAACTTTTTTATATACTTCAGCGATTTCTTTAGGGTATCCTTAATGTTGGTCATAAACCATTTTAAATTATTTTTAATAAATCTGTTTTTCAAAGCTATAAATATTCTCTGACTCACAACAGAATTGGGAAATCTAGTACTACTTAGCCACTGTTCTGAAACATTTCCAGTCTCATGCATAAAATAACAATAGTAGTAGATTTACATAACGCATTAGGCTATCGGGACATAAACTTTCATTAAGGAAGGATCCCAGGCCAACTCTTTTTTCATATGTCACAAGGCTGCACTCCTATGGACTATGCCCCCCCCTTTTTTTAGTCTTCTGTCAGATTGTAAGCTCCTTGCAAGCACTGTTTTCCTTTTTATTTGTATTTGCACCGATGCGCACCTGTACCTGGCACTAGTTGGTTGGCTTTTAGAAAATATTTATTAAGATTTGCAAAAAAATGCTTTATGATCATTAACTCATTTTATGCTCCCAACAACCCTAAGAGGCAGGTGCTATGCTTAGCAATTCCACTGTACATAGGAGGAAACTGAGGCAGACTTGCCCGGGGTCATCTCCCAGGTAGTGAATGGCTGAGGCTGGAGGGAAAGCGCCACGGTCTCCTTGCAACCTCGTTTTAAGTTCTTTCCCCCGGTGAGGCTGGCTCTACGCTCTGAAGCCCCACGCTCTCCTGGGCTGCGACCACCCAGGGCAGCAGTGATGCTCTGAGTGCACGGTGACGGGGAGAACACCGCCAAGGCTTTGTTCTGTGCCCTTGCTCCGGGAGCATCCCGGGTTCATCCCCAGCGCCAGAGGCTGCACCGAATCCCTTTCCTCCTCCCCGCTGCAGAGCCAGGCTGCGCACCGCCGACGCAACGGAACGGCGAACCGCCCCACTCTCCGGGCCCGGCAGGGGGTCCCGCCCGGCGGGGTCTGAACGTCGCCCCGCGCCCCCGGCCCGGCCAGGGATGCCCGCTCGGCACAAAACAAAGCCAGGCTCCAAGGTCCAACTTTGGGAGGCAGCACAGCCTGGACTAAGCGCGGGCGCGCCCCTGATCGAGTCGAAGCCCCGGGGCAGCGGCCCGAGCCCCGTCCCGGGCCGGGTTCCGAGGCCGACTTCGGCTGTTCCCGACGCTCCCCGGAGAAATCCGGGTCAGAGTTAGGGTCAAGGTCAGGGGTTTCCGCGCCCCGACCCGCCCTGCCCCGCGCCCAGGGGGCTCCTTTTCATCCCTCGGGTCCCTTCAGGAAACTTTCTGAAAGGGTGGGTGAGGGGGAGCCCCGAGGGGAAGGGGCAGGTAAGAGGGAGCCGGGGAGGAGGGGCCGTGGCCGCGCGGGCTGAGGGGCTTTTGGAAGGGAAGTGGCAAGTCGGGGGCGGCCGGGGCCGAAGGAGGCGGGCGGTGAGCGGCGGGGGCACAGGACACGCCCTGCGGGGGGAGGGGCGGGGCCGAGCGGCCGTCCCAGGGTTCGCTGCCCGGAGCGAGCCGCGGGACTGACTCGAAGAGCAGCTCCCTGAGGGGGCGCGAGGGCCAGCCCGCCGGAGCCAGCGCACTCCTCCTCCTCCTCGTCCTCGTCCTTGTCCCGGGAGCCGCCGGCCCGTCCGTCGCTCCGTCGGTGCTGCGTGCCGCGCCGAGTCCATGCGCCAGGCGGGCGGCCCGGCTGCGGCCGCGTGAAGCGCCAGGCCCCGTGGGATGCGCCCCTGAGCCGCGCCACAGGGGAGCTGCAGCCCCGCTCGGGGAAGGGGGGGCAGGGGCCGGGCCGAGCCGCAGGGGGCCCGGCGGCGCCCGCACACCCCCGCCGGGGAGGGCAGCGGCCGGCGGCGGCGGAGAAGCCACGGCCGCCCGCCCACCGCGGCCAACGACCGACCCCGACCATTAAAAAAAAAAAAAGCCCACTCGCTTCCCGAGCCGCCGGAGGCCGGCGGCGACGCCTGAAATTTGAGCAGGAAAACGGGTTCCTTCTGTCTCGGGCTAAGATTACACAGGCGGGGGTGACTCGGTAGGAGCAGCAACAGCAGCAGCCGTGAAACGAGGTGAGAACGGGGAGCGAGACCCCCAGCCAGGCCCGCCCACACGTGGGGAGGGAAGGGGTCAGGGAGAGACGTGAGACCGGAGCCCCCTCAGCGGCCCCTGTCACCCCAGCCGACCCGGGCCGCCCAGAGCCGTCCAGTTCAGGGGGGTGACGCGCGGAAGGAGGCGGGCCGGGTCCCGTGCCCCGGCCCCCCCGAGGTGAGGCGGCGGGTCCTCCCCCACCCTGGGAACCGAAAGTAGGGAGGAGACCGTTCAAGTTCAAGTCCTCGCTGCTGGAGGGACGGGGGCGGGGAACTTCCAAGAAAATAAAACTAGCTCCCAGCTGTCGTGGAAATTCTTGAGAGTTGTCATCATCATCATCATCATCATCATCATTAATATTCGTACTATCAGGAACTCTTGGAAGTGGTAGTTGTAGCTATTAAAAATACACGTGCGGCCGCCCCGGGAGTGCGAGGAGAGGGTCCAGGCCCGTGGGGTGATGCACAGACGTGTGAGGTTGCCCTTGAACTCGAGGGACTGCACAGTGAGAGGGGGAGGAGGAGGTGAGAAGATGTGGCCAGAGTGCCCTGCGGTGCGGGGGGCAGACGCCGAGGAGGGGTGGGGGAGGAGATGGGGCAGATGGCGTGAGGGCCGGAGGATGGCCCGAGACCACACCTGCATTAGGAAGAGGAAGTGCCGAGGGAGCGGGCGCTGCAGGTTGCCTCGGGCTGCAGGCTCCCGGTGCTCTCTCTGGGATCCTGCTTGTGCCGCACGCCTGTCGCTCTGCGCTTGCTCCAGCCCTCAGACGAGTTTGGGGAGACGCGTCCCCACCTGTGGCGCCGAAGCTCCTCTTTTCACGGAACACCTAACTGGGGAGAAGGCTTTTTGCCCCCTAAGGGCCTGTAGCTAGGAAGCCTGAGTTCGTTGCTTTTCATCTTTGAGCCCCAGCAGGGCCCCCACCTTTTTTTTACAAATGAGGAAGTTGGTAGGGAAGTGGTTTTAAGATTCATCACGTACATTTCTTTTGATGGAAAAGCTCCGAAGGTGTGGCTGTTTGGTGACTTGCCAAGTGTGACCGGGATTCTTTTGCTATGGTGTTGGTCGGTGCTGTCCTTACACCTCTCAGGAACTGAACGGAGCTGCTCCGGAGGAGATTGTCGGTGAGTTTGTCTCACAGGTGACGGAAGGAAGGAGAGCACTTTTTAATGGGTGTCTTAGCGGTATGAGAAGGGGACGAGTCTTGATCCCTTGTGGCTTTTAATTACTTTAGAGTTGTAAACTCTCTTGTGGCAATGTGAGGGACCTCAGTTCATTGTTTATTTAATTAAATGTTGGTCCGGGTGCCTACCACCTCAGGGTTGTTTAAACTCCAAACAGCAAGTTAAGCATTAGCTTTTCCTTAGCCGTTTTGGTGTTTTTAATGTAATAGGTGTCTGTGTCCAGCAGTCACCGTAGATAATTCCAGTGGGAAGAGCTTTATTATGACTTGTTATCCATTAAGGCAAGGTGACAGTTATCACTGTGATCTGGGTAGACAGATAATTTTTATTAATAATAATAGCATTTATGTAGTGCATGAAGGTTTGTAAAGCATTTTTAATATATGAGCAAATTTCATTCTCACTACAACCCTCTGAAGTAGGTAGGTGCTGTTATTATTATCCCCACTTTACAGGTGAGGAAAGGGAGGCTGAGGTAAGTGATTTGCCCTGAGTCACTCAGCTAGTTAAGTGAGGCAGGATTCAAATTTAGGTCTTACTAACTCAAAGAAAAGTGAACCACAATGGCAAAAACTGCTATCAAAGTATGGTTCCACTGTGGGATATCCAGAAATTGCTTGCAGATTGCTTCTAAAAACTTGTTTGTGACACAGGAAATAGTCTTCTTGTGGAAGGTAACTGAAGTAGTTCATCTTTTTTTTTTAACAGTTAACAATTCTTGAATTGTGGTGCCATTTCATCTTTACATGACTTATTCAGTAGTAGGCACAGAGTAGTGGCTAACAATACTAATAGCATACATTGTTTTAGTAAAAAGACATTTTTGAACTGGACAGAAGCAGCATGATATGGTCCAGGGTTTTTAACCTGGGTTTCATGAATTTGCTATTTTAATATTTTGATAACTATTTCAATCTGATTTCCTTTGTAATTGTATAAATTTTATTTTATACATTTAAAGCATTATTTTGAGAGGAGGTCCATAGGTTTCTCCAGATGACTAGAGGAGTCCATCCCTCTCTCTCTCTCTCTTTTTCTTTCTTTCTCTCACACACACACACACACACACACACACACACACACACACACACACACACACACACACACACCCCACCCACCCCGTACGTTAAAGCCTTTTGTAGTCATCTGAGTGTCTGACTGGTGGATTTGAAGCCTGGAATTTGAGGTTTGAATCCTTTCCTAAGACACATGTTGTATAACTATGGGACAATTCACTCATGCTGCCCGAGCCGCAGTTTCTTTACTCATGAATTTGGGATAATCATGTTTGTATTAAGTTATAGAAGAGGTGCTGTCACCTGCAGGAGCAGAAGTTATTTCCTTCCTAGGAGTTCTGCACACCATGAAATTAAAGATTCAATCTAAAAACCAAACAAAAACTTGCATTTCTCTTTTCCCAGGATTGTTTTGAGAATTTAAGCTACACCTGTGATTGTGATTTCTTCAGTATAGGGATCTCTCAGATGAAGGAACTCTTTTTTTTTTAAAGTAGGGCATTTGGGGTTAAGTGACTTGCCCAGAGTCACACAGCTAGGAAGTATTATGTGTCTGAGGCCAGATTTGAACTCAAGTCCTCCTGACTCCAGGGCTGGTGCTGTATCCACTCAGACACCTGGCTGCTCCAAGAAACTTCTCTTTATCTGTGTAACTATGCTATGTAGCTTCTGTTCAGATGTGAGTTGGAGAAATGTTCATGGCAAGCTGAAAGAGTTGGAATCAGAGAATGTGGATTATAGTCTTCCCTCTACCTCTTAGTACCTTTGAACTTGGGAGATATTGCTTAATCTCCCTGGGCCTCAGTTTCCACATCTGTGTAAAACAAGGATGTTGGACTGCAGAAACCTCTATGAGTCATTTATGAAGATGTAAGATGCAGTGCAATCTTGAGAAAAATTGGATCTTATAAAATGCCATCAAAATTTTGAGGAAGGTTAAAAGAAACAAATCCCTTTCCACCTTAAACAACCACAACTCCTATTCCAGTACGTTTAGTTGGAGCTATTTCTGTTACAAGTGCTTTCCTAAGTTGATTGTAAAAAATGTTTTCTTTTAATTTTTACTGTCAAAATAGAACAGTTTCTCTTGTAAAATCTTAGAGGTAGGAAGTGGATTTCCAGGTAACTGAAACAGCCACCTATAAACACCCAAAAATAATATAATTAACAAATATAATTAAATTCACATTGTACTTTGAAAAACAAACAGAAATTTCTGATAATTTCTTTCTAAAATATATTACACACAATCTGAACCTCAAATTTTTCATAACAGTTTAAACTTTTTATGACTCAGAATCATTATAATGAACAACAGTTATTGAACTGAGTAGTGTATTGGTGACATAACTCTAGTTTTTTTTTGTTTGCCTCTCCATTAAATGGCTCCATTTTTTTGTACTGCAATACTAGAAATTGGACATATTAGAAATAGTCCTCTCTTTACAGTTTTTCTGTTTCCCCCTGTAGCCAGTTGTGTGCCCAGATGATATAATCTTCTCCCCCTACCCCCCTCAGATGTGTGAATGGGACTGAGGTTCTGACTTACCTGTAGAGAGCAGAGTACACTAGATCTGTGACAGATGTTTGTACCCTTCACTCCTCTTAAGGTCATATTTTAGGTGGAGGTCACTGTGGCGGATGTCAAAGAATTCTGGATGAGTGGTGTTAGGGTACTAAATTTGTTATGATAAATTGTATGGCAAAAAATTTTCAAAAGTATTACCTAATTTTTTTAATGTTACTATGCCCATTCTTCACATAGCTCTCTGATTCCCTTAAATAATCAGTCAATCATTCAACATTTATTAAGTGCTTGCTTTGTGCCAGCTACTGTGCTTAGGTACTGGGGTTACAAAAAAAAAAAGCTTCTTGCCTTCAAGAAGCTTGCAGTCTAATGGAGGAGACAACATGCAAACAAATACATACAAAGCAAATTATGTATAGGATAAATAGAAAATAATTAACAGAGAAGACCAAGAATCAAGAGGGGTTAGGGAAGGGTTCCTATGATAGTGGAGATTGTAGTTGGACCTGAAAGGAAGCCTGAGTGGTCACTAAGGCGTGCAGAGGAGGAGGACGACAGACGGAGAGAAAGCTCAGAGCTGAGACATGGAGTGCCTTGTTGGTGCAACAGCCAGGGAGCCAGTATCACTGGATGGAAGAGTACATGTCAGGGAGGAAGATCTAAGAAAACTGGAAAGGTAGGAGGGGGCTAGCTTAATGAAGGTCTTTGAATGCCAAACAGAGCATTTTGTGTTTGCTCCTGGTGGCAGTATGCAGTCGCTGGAGTTTATTGAGTAGGGAGGGGTCACGTGATCAGACTTACTCTTTTAGGGAAATCACTTCAGTGGTTGAATGGAAATGGCTTGGACAGTTAAACAGTTAACATAGTTTTAGGAAAGGTAAATTCAGTAATTGAGGCGCATATTTTATTTGGTATATATCCATTTCTTCCTTTGGAGAGGTAGTATTACCCTGTTATATAGTACCTAGAGAGCTGGCCATTGAGCCAGGAAATACCTGGATTCAAGGCCCTATCTTAATGAATGACTCCTATGTGACCCTGAGTAAGTCACTTAGCTTCTCAATCCTAGGCAACTCTAAGACAGTGGACTACAGAGGAAGTGCTGACCTGAATTTAGAGTTTCTTCATCTGGGAGTTCCCTATTAGTGAAGTCCCTAGCAGGAAAGTAATGTACTCCTTCCTATATGCATAATAACCAAAACTAGGCCTGTCCAGCTCTCTGCCTATCTATGTATCTATGTATATATACACGTACATATACATACACATGTACATACATATATACATATACACACATATATGTGTGTGTGTGTATATGTATATATATATATATACATATACACACACACACACACATATATGTATATATATATATAATACAAACTCACATGAGAGAGAACAGCAAACTTAAAAATTCCCTAAGACTTGTGTGGGTAAGTACTTGGAGGTAATTTACATATGCCTCATTTATATAAATAGCTGCATGTACAGGTGGTTCTGAACAAAGTCTTGCAGGCAGTCTCTAGTCAAAAAATTCAGTTCTCTTAGATGCTTTTGTAATGGGAGAAAAAGTTTTTTGATTGAATCCAGCCAAATATGTTTGTTTAGGCACAACCTGAGTTTGACTAATATGACTTATCTAACTTAGGTTTTTTTATTCTTTTTCATCATAACAGTGATGGTCTAAATCTCTTTTGCGAATTTTAACTAAAGCTGGGTATTTAAAGTCAGCATGTGTAACCCCTACTGCTTACTGTAGGCTTAAAACAGTAGCCTTAAATGAAGCTTAACTTCTTCCTATAGTTATGAGTATGTCAGTTAGTAATACAGAAAAACAAACAAACATGTACAGTTAGCAGCTTACGATGCATTTACATTGTCTTTATGCATAGATTAGTCTTTAATCACTTTATTTTGTGTTCGCTTCTCTGTAATACAGCATTTCTATAATTCTGTAATCTTGCCAAATGAGCTAGTATTTGTAAAGTACTTAGCATAGTGCGTGAAACATAGTAGGTTTTTGATAAATGCTTGTTTCCTGAGCCAGTAGAGATGAGGAATAATCATCTTTACCCTTCAGAATATAGCTTTTTCTTCTTGATTTTGACACTGATCTGGTGATCAGGAAGCAATTTAGAAAAGTAGTGTGGTTGGTTCAGTGGATAAAACGATCTAGAGTTGAAGGACTGGGTTCAAATCCCACCTCTGCCATTTTAAGGTAAACTGTGAAAAGATCTCTTATTTTTGTGAAACATATTTAGAAAGTTTAGTATGAAATATTCTTGAACATGTATGTCTTGCACTAAAATTCAGTTAAGACCTATTTAGTCTGTATTTTTCTTTCTCTTTGTTTTGGTGTCATTTCAGACTTTTTGTGATGCTTTTTGAGAAACTGA